TTTAGAGTCAGAAAGCCTAGATCCAGATCCAGATACCTCCACTTAACAGTTCCTTGACATCAGGCATGTAATGGGATCCCTCTAAGGCTCGGTTTCCCCATCTGTAAAATGTCAGCAATAGGAGACACCACATCACAGGACTGTTGGGAAATGTTGGTCAAGCTCTTATCACAATGCGGGCCCGTAAGAAGTTCTCGACATGAGCGATTATGATCCAGCGGAGTGGCCTCAGCTTCCCTGTCTCTAAAGTGGGTTCAGGGGAGTATCTAGGGCAGGCTGTCATCCCTCCTGAGGACAGTCACATAGGTGCCAGTGGGACTCAACTCGGTAGGCAAGTCTGGCAGCCCCCTCCCTGCAGGTGTTGTGCTGGGCCTCTGGCTGACAGCTGTGTTTTTTCTGCTCGGCAAAGGTCTTAACCATAAACAGCAGAAATCCAGTGACCTCCAGCCCCCAGAAAGCCTCATTCCAGGGGCTTGTGCGAGAAAAGGCTGCTTGTGTCTAGGGTAGGGGTGGTTCTGCATTCCTCAGGCCCAACCATTCGGGCAGATCTCCTCCAGGAACGCAGCTGCAGGGCCCAGGCGCCCCCTCCCCCGCCAGAAATAGCCCGCGCTGGGCAGCTTTGCTGTGGTCTCCCTGCTCCTGGGAGGCCCCAGCCGGTGCTGGGAGGGCTGAGGGTCACAGCATCCTGGACAAGACATAGGCTGTCCCCTGGGGAAAATGGTCAAGCCCTCCCAGCTGAGGCATTTGGGAGTCTTGCCCTGGAACCCTAGCCCACAGAGTCATCGAATTGCGTTTAGAAAGAAAAGAACATGTTTTAACACAGCGTGAAAGGTCCTGCCATGCTGGCAGCCTCATCCGCCTCTTTGCCCTTCCTGCCTCAGCAGGCCTTCACCGGATGCTGGGGCTCACCCTTGCCTTCACCCTAGTGGAAGCGCTCTCCCTCCTGCCTCTTAAGAGAGCTGGCCCCTTACAGTTCAACCCTCTCATCTCAGTAAACATCACCCCCTTAGAGAGGCCGCCCCTGCTCACTCCATCTAAGTGGCCTCCCTAAATCACCGTTAACCATGTCTGTCACTTTCTTGTTTATTATCTGTTTGCCTACTTATGATGTCACTTTTTCCCACTAGAATGTAAGTTCCATGATGGTGGAGACCACGCCTGCTGTCAACATCTGCGTTTTCTCTGTTCAGCCAAGGTCTCAACCATGAACATCAGCAACAAGATGACTTCTAGTCTCTGGAAAGCCCTGTTCTCAGCTCTGTAAATATTCAATAAATATTGGCTAAGTGAATGGGTGAATGAATAAAAGAAGAATGCCAGAAAACAGCCTGGATGATATTTACTATTCGGTTCTTAATGCTTTCAGTTCTTAGGCATTCAGTTCTTAAGTGCTTTCTCTCTGCCCTGCACTGCGTTGAGTGCATTATATACAGTATTTCATTTAGTCCTGTTGCAGCTCTATGAGGTGGGTACTGGTCTTCCCATTTTCAGAGGCCCAGAGAGGTTAAGGAACTAGCCTGGGTCACATGTGCATAAGAGGCAGAATTGCAGCTCCAGCTGCAAACCGGGTTTGTCTAATGGCAAATTCTGTGCTCTTAACATCCCCCACTCCCTCTGTACCCAGAGGTGGGGAGTGACCTGACCAAAGAGGAGTGGAAAGGGTGTCAGAGAATCTTCTCACTGCCTCCTATCTCGTCTCCCAGCCTAGACCGTTGCCAGGACCTTCCAGCCAGGGCCCTTCAATGAGAGCACACAGGGTCAGTGTCTACCTTCCGCGCAGCCCCGAGGCAACTGAGGTTTCTCTGAGTCATCCGAATCCCCGAGGCCCCCCCAACAGGTCAGCTCCCAGTCTGTCAGGCCATGACCCAAGGCCACTCACCCGGCTGGCTCTCACACCCGGGCTAGCCAGAGGATGAGCGAGGCTCGCCCCGGGTTACAGGGGAGGGCCTGTGGCTGTGCTGCCGTGCGCTCAGCCCTGAAGAATGCTGCTGACTCATGGCAGGCGGGCTGGCCGCTGTGACTCAGAGGCGGTACAGGCATGGCTCCAAGAGGAGGAGGCAGGGGTCTCTAGGTGGAGTGCAGGCCAAGCCCCAGCCCCGGGACTGACATGCTGCGAGGGCTATTACCCTGATACCCTCCAGTTCCGTGACCTCAGACAGCTCTACCCTCAGTGGGCCTTGAACTTCCCCGTCTGCGCAAAAAGCAAAGCATGATCCATGACCCGTGGTCATCTGCCATGAAGAAAATGAAAGTGCATGAGAGCCAGGTGATGTGGGGCCTTGAGTGTTGGTGTGAGGAGGCTGGACAGGACTTGGCAGAGGCCAGAGCCCTGAGATGGGAGCTGGGAGTCCTGGGTTTGTTGGCCCCTTCACACCAACTCATTGCATGACCTTGGTAAAATTACCTCCCCTCTCTGTCTCCCTCATCAAAGGCCCGCTTCTAGTGGGCAGAGTGGATGGTCACTGACGTGAATTTGTCCATACGGTTCCCTCTGCTGAGAAAGCTCTGGCTGCTGTGTCTACCTCCTGATCATTCAATGGCTTGTTCAAATGCCACTTCATCAAAGGAGCCTTTCAGAAACTTCCACTCAAAAGTCATGGCTCAGAGATATTAAAATGATGGGAAATGATGGCATGAATCTACATTTGATGACATTTTAAAAAGTCCAAAATAGATTAAGTGAAAAAAAAAACAGGAGACAGAATAAAAAGCATTAAAGGCATTTTTATCTATGTATGTGTGTTTATAGCTAGAAATGCATTAAAAAAAAAGGTCTGGAGTGTATCTATATCTATTTATCTATATGTATATATATAAAATGTTAACCAAGATAATCTCTGAGTCATGACAATTATGGTGATATTTATTTTTTCTTAATATTTTTCAAGGTTTTCTAAAGTATATGCGACAAGCATGTTACTTTTATAAACAGACTTTAAGCTTCTTTCCAATTCTCTTTTAGCTCTGATCTTTAAAGGTTCCTTTATTTATTAAACTAAAGTATCATTTTCCCAGAAGAGCACCCTGCCTCCCACCTCTTCAGGAAGTGTAACTTCTCCAGACTGCAACCATGTGACAAGCAATGGGAGCTGCCCTCTTTCTGCAGATCTACCCCTAGTCCCTGTTGATTGGCCAGGGTGGGCACCTGATTCCAAGCTAAGCCAATCAGAGCTCTTCTCTGGGACTTTTCAATTTCACTGTGGTAAAAGTCATATAATCTACAATTATAAGAGTTAACAATTCAATTCAATGTTGTACAACCACCACCTCTATCTAGTCCCCAAACCCTTTGATCACCTCCAAAGGAAACCCTATACCAGTTAAGGAATTACTTCTGATTTCCCCTTTCCAATTCCCCTAACAACCACTAATCTTCATTCTGTCTACTGATTTTCCTCTTCTAGATATTTCACACAGATGGAGTCATATAATATGTGAAATTTTGTGTCTGGATTCTTTCACTTGGCATATTAGTTTTGAGGTTCATCCACATTGTACCATGTATCAGAACTCCCTTCCTTTTAATGGCTGAGTACTATTCCATTGTACGTATTTACTACAATTTGTTTATCCATTCATCCCTTGAAGGCTATTTGGGCTGTTTCCACCTTTTGGCTACTGTAAATAGTGCTGCTACGAACATTTGTGTACAAATATATGTTTGAGTTCCTGTCTTTAGTTTTTTTGAGTATATAACTAGGGATGAAATTTCTAGGTCATATGGTAATTCTGTTTAACTTTTTGATTTCCACAGTGGCTGAACCATTTTACACTCCCATCCATGATATAGCCACAAAGTCTTCAGGATTTTTTAACTTGAACTGAGAAAGAGCAGCTCTGAGTCTCTTCCTGGTGAGTCTGGGGATGTGAAAATGACACCCACAGAAGGGAAAAGGTAGAAGATGGAAAGACTGCAAGTCATCCCCAAAGCTTACCTCTGTCCCACCTCTGTTCTCACGGTTACACAAGCCTTGCCTGCACTGGCAGGTTGGGTTTCTGTGCCCCCAAGTGTCCTGACGGATACCCTCTTCTCAGTGCTGCGTTCAGAATCTTGATGTCTCAAGCTGTGTTTGAGGGTGCCCCAGACCCAGCCCTCTACACAGGGAGCCACTGCATACCACCTTAACCCTGAAGCCAAACGGCTCAACCAAAGTCTCCTCTGCTTCTCCCCAGGTCTTCAGCCAAGAGCCCAGACAGACCCTAAGGAAACGTGACCCTGGCTGGTCCTATAACGAGAGTCAGTGAAGAAGCCTGGTGGTAAGGGCAGGTGGGAGGTGGATTAGAGGGGAGAAGAGGGCAGGGGTTCTCCTGAGGACACCGTGAAGCTGGGAAAACTGAAGGCAGGCTGGAGGCCAGACCGGGGGTGGGGGGGGGGTGCGAGGTGGGGGTGGTAGGAGGAGGAAAATGTGGAAAGAAAAACCCAGCAGAATTGCCAATGTTTAGATGGCCTTTCAAAGAGTAATTGAGACAGTGTGTCCATGGCCAAACATGAAGGTAATGTTTCTTCAGGTTCTAAGAGGAATAACTCTGATTTTGTTTTCTGGGTGGGGAAAAAGGATGAAGAGTGATGGGGAAAGGTGGTTTTGGAGGTAGCATCCATGCCATTCTGACCCCTTCATTATCCAAAGTCTCAAATCTGTGATCTGGGAACAGAGCCCACCTGCTTGCTTTCCTAAATAGGATCTGGGGAACACACACTGGCCCCAGGAAGAGGGCCTCTGGGGTATGTCCTGCTGCTGCTGCTGCTGCTGCTAAGTCGCTTCAGTCGTGTCTGACTCTGTGCGACCCCATAGACGGCAGCCCACCAGGCTCCTCTGTCCCTGGGATTCTCCAGGCAAGAATACTGGAGTGGGTTGCGTATGTCCTAGTAGTGGACAATGGGAGAATGTTCTGGATGACTTGAGTGGTGTAGTATTTACGGGATGAGGGTAGGTCACAGGGGGAATCTTAGGTAAACTGTTGATAGGAAAATGACTTTGTCACCGTTTTCTATAGAGAAAATGGAAAGGTAATCACTCTTTCCTCTTTCATGGTTAGTTGCATTTTTCTTTCTTTCTTCTTCTTTTTTAATATTTACTTATTTGGCTGTGTTGGGTCCTGGTTTGGTCATGTGGGATCTTTCATTGCTTTTTGTTTTCCACAGTTGCTGTGCTGTTTTACATTCCCATTCATAATATAGCCACAAAGTCTCCGAGACTTTTTAACTTGAGCCAAGAAAGAGGGCTCTGTAATTCTGGCTCAGTAATTGTGGCACATGGGCTTAGTTGCCCCTTGGCCTGTGGGATCTTAATTCTCCACCAGGGATCAAACCTCCGTCTCCTGCATTGGAAGGTAAATTCTTAACCACTGGATCACCAGGGAAGTCCCCCGCATTTTTCTTTTTAACTTCTGACAGTTGGAATGCATAAAACACAGAGACTTCACACAGGAGGCACTCACTGATGGTGGTACTGCTCCAGGTTGGTGGCCTAGAGACACAGGTCTTCTGCCCAATTCTATTCCATGTGTGTCTTAGTTCACATGACACATGGGATGCCATAACAAAGCACCACAAACTGGGTGGCTTAAATGCCAGAAATGTATTATTGCCTCCCATTTCTGGAGGCCAGCAGTCTGAATCAAGGTGTCATCAGGGTTGATCGGGCTGAGGGCTGTGAAGGAGAATCTGCCCAGGTCTCTCTCTTGGCTCCTGGTGCTCTGCTGACAATCTCCTGGGTTCACTGTCTTGCAGATGCTTCATTCCAGTCTCTGCCTTCATCTTTACGTGGGGTGTTTCCTTTGTTTGCGTCTCTGTATCCAACTTCCCCTTTGTATAAGAACATTGGTCATACTGGGGTAGGTCCCATCCTACTGACCTAATTTTAACTTGAGAATCCCTATTAAGACGCCTTTTTCAAATTAGGTGACATTCTGAGGTACTGGGGGTTAGGGCTTCAACTTATCCTTTTGGAGGGATACCATTTGACTTATTGACAACAGGATAATCATCAAAAGGAAATAAAAGGTCCATCCACATCTCTGCAAATGGCACAATTTCGTTCCTTTTTATTCATGGCTGAGTAAAATTCCATGAATGTGGAATTCATTCCATGAATGTGGAATCCATATATGTGCCACACCTTCTTCATCCATTCCTCTGTTCATGGACTTTTAGGTTGCTTTCATGTCCTTGCTATTGTAAATAAGGCTGCAATAAACACGGAGTGCATGTATCTTTTGGAATTATGGTTTTCTCTGGGTGTATGCCCGGGAGTGGGATTCCTGGGTCATATGATAGTTCTGTTTTTAGTTTTTTAAGGAACATCCATACTGTTCTTCATATGAGAACCTATTGTATAGCACAGGGAACTCTACTGAGTGTTCTGTGGTGACCTAAATGGGAAAGAAATCCAAAAAAAGAGGAAATATGTATACCTATTGCTAATTCACTTTGCTACACAGCAGGAACTGACACAACCTTGTAAAACAACTATGCTCCAATAAAATTTTTTTAAAAGGAAATAAAAGTTTATGGTACATTTCTAATTGTATGAACTGTATTACAAAGAATATTCCTGACAAGAAATAATTTCCATTTTGTCTAAGTATCTCTGAGCACTAAATCCTCTGCTTACAATTGGCCCAGCAGGCCTGGTAATTGGAAGAATTTTCCACAGCTTAGTTTCTGGCCATTTAGATTTCAAATGGTTTCTCTTCTCTAAGACATATAGTTTTGTGGCCAGATATGGGGGGACATGTTCACATCACTGTGTGGGGTCTGAGCCTGTATATCTGGACAGGTGAATGGCCTCCATGGACAGAAAGAGGGTCCCAAAGACATTTCAATACCAACACAGCTGACTTAACTGTACATGGAAACTATACAGCCACTCGATGCACACTAAATATTTCCCCAATTCACCTTCCCTTTAGCCAGACCCCCAAACGCCACAGCCATCCTGACATGAGGAAAATATGACAGCGAGGAAGGAGGTCAGAGTGGAGTCAGTGATCTCAACCCATTGCAGTTAAAATGGCTTGTGCAAATTTCACAGAAGTACATGACCATGTGAACACATGGCCAGGGCCCCTCCTGGGGATTAGGGAAGGGCTCATGCCAGCAAGGGATTCTGAAGCTTATGCTGTACTAGTTTTATGGTCCATCTGCCTCAGAATGGGCACTCTCTCAGTCTTAAAGACATCCCATAAACATTTGTTTGAGAAAAATTTATTCACCTACTATGTGCCAGACCCCGTGTCAGACACAGATGAGCCAGAGACAGATAGACTGAGTGCAAATCAAGCATCTAGACATCGCAGTCTCCCCGAGGGGCCCAGTCCTGGAGACACTGGGTTTTCCCAGGCGTGAGTCATCAAATAAAGTAGAAAAACTAGCCTCATCTTCAGCTGGAAAGTGGGGCCCTTCCCTTTGAAAAGTGTGGTGAAAATTCCTGGGAGAAGAAGCCTCCTCCCAGATTTATCCTACCAAGATAATCTTGATGCTGGAGCGCCTTTAACAATCAGAGTTCCAGCTCAAAAGGAGAGGTTGTCCATTAAACCAAGAGTGTGGGAGTCAAATCCCCCCAACTCAGATCTCAGAGCCACACTACTCCCAGGAAACTGTCCCCTTCCTGGATTTCTGAACACAGGGGACTAGAACTTCAGCCTCTACATTCAACTTGAGATCCGGCCCAGAACCTTCCTGCTTTGACCCAGGATGAGCAGAAAGCCATGACTCCCTAAACCAGTCCTGCTGGTAACTGACTGGTCTCAGCTGCCTGCCTTAGCCCCTGCCCAGCTTCACCCAGGACCCTGGCCCTCTAAATCATCTTGAACGGCACATACTTTGGGGCATCCCCCTCTCTGAGCCTCAGTCATGTCTGAAGTAGGATGGCAATAGACTATTTACTCCCAGAGGGCCAGGTAGTTTGTCCTGTCCACCCCTGTAGCCTCAGGCCAATTGAGTGAATGGCACACAGTTGGTGCTCAATAAGTGTTCAAGTGAATGAATGGAATGAAGAGATCCTTGACTTCTGTGTGCAGGAGCAGTAGCCGGTACTTGTTCAGATGCAAGTGACAGACAGCACAAACTGGCACCAGGAAGACCATATGGGTTCACGTCACTCACGTCCAAGGGTGGTTCTAGCTTCAGGATTCATATGCTCAGAAGCTGTTATTATGGATCCATCTGCCTCCGCCTCTGCACTTTGCTTTCCTCTCTGTTAGGGTTAGCCCCAGGCAGGTCCAGGCTTACAGTCCAGCAGAAAAGAGACTATCTTCTTCTCAAAAATTAAAATAAAAATCTAAGAATCAAGTCTTGCTGGACAGACTTGGATCCCTTGTCCATCCCTGTGGCAGGGGGACATCTGATGCTCCGATGTCCTGGAGTTTACCTACCCTGGAGCCTGCCCCTGGAGTTTACCTACCAGTGAGGAAGAGTAGTTCTTCTTTCTTTTTAACTTAAAAAATTTTTTTGGGGGGAAGAGGTGCTGTGTTGGGTCTTAGTTGCCGCACACGGGGTCTTCACTGTGGCGCATGGGCATCTTTCCAGCTGTGGCCCCGGGGCTTTTGAGCCCATGGGCTCTGTAGTTATGGCTCACAGGCTTAGCTGTCCCATGGCACATGGGATCTTCGTTCCTCGATCAGAGATTGAACCTGAGTCCCCTGCACTGGAAGAAAGATTCTTAACCACTGGACCACCAAGGAAGTCATCTTTAAAAAAAAAATAAATGATTTTTTTTTTTTTTTTTGAGGAGCAGTTGTGCAAAGGAAAATCTGGGTTCTGGCTCCAAGAGAGGGGAAAATGGCTTCAAGGCAGGCAGCAGGTGCCCACCACAGAACCCAACTGATGTCTGAACATTTGGGCAACTCTTTCCCTCTCTGAGCCTCAGTCTTTTTGTATGTCCTTCCTAGTGCTTTTGTGGGGGTCCAAATGAGACCCCACAAAAATAATAATAACTGACATTTATTGAGGCATCACTAGGCCCTGTGCTAAGAAAACCTTTTACACGTTTACTTTAATATTTACAACAATCTATTTTACTGATGGTTGAGAGCTGTTCCAAGGCTTGTATGCTGTCACACAGCTAGCTACAAGGGTGGGGCTGGGGTTTAAATCAGTGCCCTCAAGCATGAAGCTATATATAAACTGTAAATAATTTTACAAGCATAAGGGATTATTAGTAATGGCCTGTACTGTTAATAATAGTAATTTTTTAAAAACCCTGAAAGGGAAATTCAAATAAATTCAAACAAATGTTTGTTTAGCACCTACTATGGGCTGATCACTCACCAGGGGCTCAGAAGGAGACACATAAATAACTGTGAAACAGGCAGGCTGTGATCTAATAAAGCCATAAACACGCCCCAGGGGAGTGTGGGGAGCAAGAGATTGACTCCACATGGGGAAGGGAGGGGTGTGGGGATCTGGAAAGGTCTCTTAGAAGAGGTGGGATTTGAAGCTGAGCTTTAAAGATGAAAGGACTTCAACAAAGGGAGGAAAGAGAAAATCAACTTTATAAGGGACCTGGAAGGATCTGAAGACCCAAAGCAGAGTTCCTGGATAAGAGTTAAGCATTTCTTTGCAAAATAACTTCACACCAGCAGGAGCATCAAAAAGTGATTGACTAAGTAGAGCGAAGCAGTTGCCATGGGAACAGAGGCAAGCCTCGTCCCTGTCATTAGTGAGCATTCCTGCCTTCGAGCTGTCTAGCCGAGGCCAGGAGGCAGCGGGGGCTGTGCTGTGCTGTCCCCAGAAAGAAAAGGCCCAGCAAGATCGCTGCCCTGAGAGGCTGACTCTTGTTTCACAGGGAAGCAGAGCTGACAGGTGACATCTGGGTCTGAGAAGATAGACAGCCAGGGGAAGCCTGTGCCTTGAAGGGCTTTGGGACATCCTGAAGCTACTGGAGCTGGCAGTGGGGCCTCAAAGACGGGGATTTGAGGGCAAGGAACAGGCCTGAGAGCAGGCTCGCCAGGTGGGTCTCTTCCCCCTCGAGGCCTGAGCCAGACCCACCTAGGATGCTGGTGTGA